CTTTGTTCGTACTGGGCTGTAACATGGGCTACCTTTTGGTTGGCTCTTTGTTCAGCTTCCAGTGCAACTGCATTTGCAGCATTCTTCAGCTTTGCGTTTGCATCGCTAAGTTCCTGTCTCAGTTTTGCTACCTCATGCTCAGTTGCCGTTTGGGACATTGAATACTCTGACACTAGGTGTTCATGTCTGCGATCAGCTTCTGCACGTTGATGGGCGATTTCGCTAAGGCAAATTCCCTCAAACTCTTGGTACAGTTGCTGGACCTTTTGTTCCATGAGATGTGTGTGCCTCTCCTCTGCCTCTTGCCTGAAAGCATCAATGTTACCTTCGTTGATGTAGGTAAGATTGTTTTGCACGAACTGGAAATAGGCTTGCACGGGCTGTGTGAAGAAACCTTCATCCACTAACATGGGCGTGGGGTTTGTCCCAGCCGGCAAGCTCTGTTGTGAACCAGTTGATGCAGCTATTGTTCCAGTCGAATGGACAAGGGCACCTCCACCTGTAGCGTCATGCGTTTTGTCCATGGCTTTAGAGACTACGGCTGATAACCTGTATTTTCAGGTTTCAGCTGGGGTAATTCCTATTACACCCAAATAGACTGATAAACCTAAAATCCGTTAAGCATCTGCAGCTCAAACCCTTTTTACCTGAGCCGCAACAGCTACCAAGTACATGCTATATTACAGTGTGTTTTATGTGAGGTGATTTTACACTACGATGTCTAGTGTTTAAAATTGTGGCAGTGTATCAACATTGATATGATACAAATATGCATTTAATTGTTACATTACATTACTGATACTCTACGGGACACTCTTTGGCCCCCTTTCAGGACTCTAGAGACCCCACATCATACACTCAAGAGTCCCGAAAGCCAAAATTGCTATTTGTTTGCTTCGCTAAACCGGAAAGGAAAAAGTCTAGCTAAAGTGAATGGAACCTTCTCCTTTACCTTGCTGTTAGAGGAAATAATCAAAAACAATTGAGTTGGAAAATGTGATGTATTTTATGGATGTGTTACTGTTTCTTTCCTTCCGCAATTGTATCTTGAGACCGGTTTTGGTCAATTTGACCTTCTAGGTGTTGATTACAATGCATAGTGTTTAAAAAGGTGCCGCTTTATCAATTACTTTTCACCACATACCACGTGGACACATTGATATGAATTATATATTGATTATATTGACATTGATTTACTGATCACTGATTTACATTACATTTCTGATACTCTACGGGACACTCTTTGGCCCCCTTTCAGGACTCTAGAGACCCCACATCATACACTCAAGAGTCCCGAAAGCTAAAATTGCTATTTTTTTGCTTCGCCAAACCAGAAAAGAATGAAAAACGGAGAGGAAAAAGTCCAGCTTAAGAAAAGGAAATGCATTAGAAGCAAATTTTGTGAATGGGCTATTGCTTCTTTTCTTCTGCAATTGTTTTTTGTGACCTTTTTTGGTCCTTTTGGCTTCTGGGGCCCTTGGATACTCTATCTTTGGCTTGTAGAGTTTTCAAAGAGGGCCACAAGCCATAGAGTATTCCACAATGTATAGCGTACATAGGGTACATAAAAATGTGAAATGTGATAATAAGACTTTCATTTTATTTTACTCTTTCATAACATCATGTATTGGCTGTATTGGCGAAGCATATACTGTACTCTAGTGACTATCCTGTGGGAAGCCCAGTCCCTGTAACAGTGGAAAAAATGTTTTTAATTTTAACTACCACCCCAGGGGGAGCACAAGCAAATCCCGTTTTTTCAAAACTATCTTTTGCAACTTCTAAAAGTAAAACTAGGAACCTGACAGCTAAGGCAATTTTTGGTTTTCTTAAGTCAACACCTGTGGAAACACTAAAATCAGAAAAACCTTGGGTCTAACATACTGGAATTTAGTGTTCCCACAGGTTGTTCTGAATTTAGTGTTTCCACAGGTGCTGATTTGAAGAAAAGAAAAAACTTTGCTGTCTTAGTTGTCAGGTCCTTACTTTTACTTTTAGAAGTTGCAAAAGATAGTTTTGAAAAAACGAGATTTGCTTGTGCTCCCCCTGGGGTGGTAGTTATAATTAAAAACCATTTTTCCGCTGTTACAGGGACTAGGCTGCCCACAATATATATACATACTATAGAAGAATATTTGATGGATTCTTATAGATGGTTAATGGACTGTTAATGGAGTCTTAGTGGTATATATATAGATGATTAATGGATTCTTTAATGGATTCTTGTTGCCCCAGTCATATGGGAAGAATGTGTATAGGTTTTGACCGATGCGAAAAATGGTGAATGGATTCTCCAATATGGTTAATGGTTGGTTAATGGTTGGTTAATGGTTAATAGATGGGTTTTTGGTCAATAGATGGTTAATGGCTCCTGGGAAGTACCCAAAAAAATACCTGGTTAATGGTCAATGGAACAATAGATGGGATAGATGACAATGGATGACAGTGGATGGCTATTGGATTCAGCCAAAGATAATCTTCGATGTGAGCAGAAAGCTGTGCAGTATTAAGATATCTACTTAGAATCCAGTTGCTGGTTTCAGCCAAACATTTAAGTCACTTGGCAAATATTGAAAAAAGTTGGTGGATTCAATGGCAAACAAACCACGGAAATATCAGAAAAAAACCACCAACACTTATGACAATATCAGAAAAAACAACCAACGCTTATGAAAATATCAGAAAAAACAACCAACACTTATGAAAATATCAGGAAAAACAACCAACACGTCTGAAAATATCAGAAAAAACAACCAACGCTTATGAAAATATCAGAAAAAACACCAACACTTATGAAAATATCAGAAAAAACAAGCAACACTTATGAAAATATCAGAAAAAACCACCAACACTTATGAAAATATCAGAAAAAACCACCAACACTTATGAAAATATCAGAAAAAACAAGCAACACTTATGAAAATATCAGAAAAAGCCACCAACACTTATGAAAATATCAGAAAAAACCACCAACACTTATGAAAATATCAGGAAAAACAAGCAACACTTATGAAAATATCAGAAAAAACCACCAACACTTATGAAAATATCAGAAAAAACAAGCAACACTTATGAAAATATCAGAAACAACCCACCAACACTTATGAAAATATCAGAAAAAACCACCAACACTTATGAAAATATCAGAAAAAACAAGCAACACTTATGAAAATATCAGAAAAAACCACCAACACTTATGAAAATATCAGAAAAAACCACCAACACTTGTGAAAATATCAGAAGAAACAAGCAACACTTATGAAAATATCAGAAAAAACCACCAACACTTATGAAAATATCAGAAAAAACCACCAACACTTTTGAAAATATCAGAAGAAACAAGCAACACTTATGAAAATATCAGAAAAAACCACCAACACTTATGAAAATATCAGAAAAAAACAACCAACACTTATGAAAATATCAGAAAAAACAAGCAACACTTATGAAAATATCAGAAAAACCGCCAACACTTTTGAAAATATCAGAAGAAACAAGCAACACTTATGAAAATATCAGAAAAAACCACCACCAACACTTTTGAAAATATCAGAAAACCCGCCAACACTTATGAAAATATCAGAAAAAACAAGCAACACTTATGAAAATATCAGAAAAAACAACCAACACTTTTGAAAATATCAGAAAAAACAAGCAACACTTATGAAAATATCAGAAAAAACAACCAACACTTATGAAAATATCAGAAAAAACAAGCAACACTTATGAAAATATCAGAAAAAACAAGCAACACTTATGAAAATATCAGAAAAAACAACCAACACTTATGAAAATATCAGAAAAACCGCCAACACTTATGAAAATATCAGAAAAAACAAGCAACACTTATGAAAATATCAGAAAAACCGCCAACACTTTTGAAAATATCAGAAAAAACAAGCAACACTTATGAAAATATCAGAAAAAACAAGCAACACGTTTGAAAATATCAGAAAAAACAAGCAACACTTTTGAAAATATCAGAAAAAACAACCAACACTTATGAAAATATCAGAAAAAACAAGCAACACTTTTGAAAATATCAGAAAAAAACAACCAACACTTATGAAAATATCAGAAAAAACAAGCAACACTTATGAAAATATCAGAAAAAACCGCCAACACTTTTGAAAATATCAGAAAAAACAAGCAACACTTTTGAAAATATCAGAAAAACCGCCAACACTTTTGAAAATATCAGAAAAAAACAAGCAACACTTATGAAAATATCAGAAAAAACCACCAACACTTATGAAAATATCAGAAAAAACAACCAACACTTGTGAAAATATCAGAAAAAACAAGCAACACTTATGAAAATATCAGAAAAAACCACCAACACTTATGAAAATATCAGAAAAAACCACCAACACTTTTGAAAATATCAGAAGAAACAAGCAACACTTATGAAAATATCAGAAAAAACCACCAACACTTATGAAAATATCAGAAAAAAACAACCAACACTTATGAAAATATCAGAAAAAACAAGCAACACTTATGAAAATATCAGAAAAACCGCCAACACTTTTGAAAATATCAGAAGAAACAAGCAACACTTATGAAAATATCAGAAAAACCGCCAACACTTTTGAAAATATCAGAAAAAACAAGCAACACTTATGAACATATCAGAAAATGACAAATATTGAAACCACCAATCACCCATGGTTTTCCGGGCTTGGCTTCCTTGCTTTTGTCCTCGAAACCTGACAGCTGGATCACGCGGGATCCATGAATGGTTCAGAGATTAAGAGAACAAACAGGTCCCAACTTCGAGAAATAAAGAACTTATACAATGATCATCCTATATCTATTTATATGTATATGTTACATATAATTCGTATCCAGACTGGATCCACACTGCTTGCCGTGACTGGACCTGGAAAAACTTATACACTTGCCATGACTACACTACGGGTTGCTCCCAACAAATTGCCTAAATGTTCAGAGGTTTAGCTCCACCATGCTCCACTCATTTCCCCAAAATGTGGGACGGCCTTGAGCCAGGAAGTCCCAACGGTTCAAGGTCTTCGGAAAGATCTCCTTCTGTGAAGGGAATCAGTGAAGAATGACAGGTCTTTAATCATTGGGCCATATTGGGCCCACAATCTTCACAAACAGTGAATTCCATGCTCCAATGATTCAATGCTCAACCAGTTTTTTTTTGGGGGGGTGGAAGTCAAGAATTCCATATGGAAGCTTCTCTGCATTCTCTGGACATGGTTGTTGCTGTGACGGAAAAAATGAAAAAACTCGGAGCCCGGTCAAACTCCAGCTAGGTTTACTTGTTCAAACAAAACCCATATTCCACCAATGGATATGCCTGTGGGAAAATGATCCTTTTGAAAGAGGAATCAAATGTGCTATCTCTTCGCTGAAACCACGACAAGCTAGCGCAGCATGGCTCAAAGGCACCAACAAAAATTGATTTGCGGAATGCTGTGAATGGCGTTGAGATGTGTTATTCGTTCATAAACAAGCACATCCATGCCAGAGCGTGAAAATCAGAGTTCTGTAGTATGTAGATTATTTACCTTTAAATAATGCGAGGATGTCTTATCTCTCCAGGGTTTTTTATTATAGGGGACCTGAGTTGTTCAGCTCCCCATGGATCAATTCCATTCTTTGGAAGGTCACAAATTAATCCCGTTGATCATCATGGGCCCCCAAAAGTGCGAGAGATCGGTGCCCCCCCCAATTCAGAAGGACACCCCAAGGTGTATAATCATGTATAATTTAGCCATGGAAAAATGACCGTTTATAGATGATTTACCACTTGTAGTATATAAAAATGATGATTTCGATAGCTATATAGAGGTTTCCAATCCATGGGGGTACCCTCAGTTCTCATCCATTTGTAGATAGATTTTCCATGAAATAAACCAACCAGCTATTGGGGTAGCCCCATTTTAGGAAACCCCCGTGATCGCTCACCTCCGTACTCCTCATCTGCGCGGTGCTGGGCCGAAGCACCTCCTGGCCAGGCTGGCCAGAAATCCCAAGCCATGGAGCCATTTCCCCACAAAAATGTACAAGGTTACGATTAGAGGTTGGATTCGTCCAATTAAATCGCCATATCACTACTTTTTGGGATTGGATGTTACTTTTTCATCTATCTTTTTGGGCAGTGTTTGATCTTGGATTTGCTTCAGGAACCACAAATCTTCCCTACAGATTCCTTCAGCAAATCCAGCTATATCATTCCATTATATCCCATGAAGATTCCATGAAATATTCCATCAAATCATGGTTACCCTCTGGTTATTTAACAGTTTGCCATTGAAAATGGCCCATTTATAGATGATTTTCCCAGCTAGAAACCTCCATTTAGAAGGGATTTTCCATGGCTATGTTAGTCATAACCAGATGGTGAAATCCATGGGTTTTTTCTCCCATTCTTCCACCATTTTTCCTGTCGTGGAACTTGGATCAGCTCAGGCGGAGCCGAGAGGAAGCACATCCTCGGAGGTTGAAACCACCAATGCTGTATGGTAAACTGGTAAAGGATAGAAATGTGTATTATAAATTACCATTTATGTCATCAGATTGTCAGATTATCATCATGTATTGCCATCATCATTAATTTACCATAAATATGGTAAACGTACTATTTTAGGAGTAGATCTTACGGTTCTAAACCTCTTTTTGGGGCTGCTGAAAAAATGGTACCAGTTCCACGGGATTAAATCGACCACAACGGGACAGAAGTTTGGGGAGATATCGCTCTATGGGCCATGTGAAACTGAAGAAACTGTGAAACTGATTATCAATCAATAACCATGACATGGCAATACATCAAATAACTGGATTATCATGGTTAATGATATATTCATGATTGATAATTGGAAAATATCATGAAAACCATGACAATACTTTGGTCGCTTCCCATCATGTTCAAACGATTCCAGGAGGAGGATGCCCGCAAATGACACTTGAAATCGACAAAAATCCTGTAGATTACGAGTCAGGAATCCCCCAGGTATTTGCCTCCAAGCCCTGCCACACCTTGTCCGACCTACAAACCACATGGATAATCTGCGATACTCCATCATCATAGTCTCAAAACATTAAAGTACAAAACGACCCTCCACCCGTCCATTTACCCTCTGGTAAACTAACATAACTATGGAAATCAATAAATCACAATTTTTAATGTGAAGACTCAATATAAATGGCCATTTTCAATAGCAAACTATTAAATTACCAGAGGGTACCTATATTTTCGATCATTCGCCATCCAAGGCACTCCAACAACTGGTTCCCAGCATCTTCCACCACATCCGAGCACCAGCACGCGTGCATGGGCATCCAACTGCAGAAGACCTGATCATCCATGATTCATGTGGACGGAACATACCGCTATCTTAATGATTCCCCTAAAGCAACCAGAAGCGGCAACCAGCGGGACATGGGGGGGCTCTTAAAATGTGGGGATCCCCAAGTCTCCATGGGTGAAAAATACTAAACTGGTCCAATTTTGGCAAATCATGCATGGCAATAGAAAACCATGGGTTGGGCTGGGTTTAGTTACATGGGATGAATGGGGTACGGTCGTTCAACCCACAATGCATATCCTTATACTGGGTGTATTATATTATATATATATACCCTCTGGAAATTTAACAGTTTGCTATTGAAAGTGGCCATTTATGGTTGATTTACCCATTAAAAATGGTGATGTTCCTTAGTTTTTTGTATGTTTACCAGAGGGTATACCAGTAGTGTATAAATGCCCACCAATGGATTCATGACAGCAACAAGAGGATGAAATGACAAGACAGCTAGAACTTCTGCAGTTTGCAAGCTGGTCCCGTCCGCAACCTTGAATTCCTGATCTCAACAACAAAACCAACTTATCCTATCTCAGACTCCAATATGGGGGGTTCCTAAAATGGGGGTACCCCTAAATCATCCATGTTAATAGGATTTTCCACTATGAAACATCCATTTTGGATGAACCCATTTTCGGAAACCCCTATCTATCTATCTATCTATCTCTCTCTCTCTCTATCTATCTATCTATCTATCTATCTATCAATCTATTTATCTATCAATCTATCTCTCTCTCTCTATCTATCCATCCATCCATCCATCTATATCCATCTATATCCATCTATCCATCTATCCATCTATCCATCTATCCATCTATCCATCTATCTCCATCTATATCCATCTATATCCATCTATCCATCTATCCATCTATCCATCTATCCATCTATCCATCTATCTATCTATCTATCTATCGATCTATCTATCTATCTATCTAATCTAGCTATCTAATCTAGCTATCTAGCTATCTATCTATCTATTTATCTATCAATCTATCTCTCTCTCTCTCTATCTATCCATCCATCCATCCATCCATCTATATCCATCTATATCCATCTATCCATCTATCCATCTATCCATCTATCCATCTATCCATCTATATCCATCTATCCATCTATCCATCTATCCATCTATCCATCTATCCATCTATATCTATCTATCTATCTATCTATCTATCGATCTATCTATCTACGTATCTATCTATATTATATACATATTTAATATACATATATAATATACGTATATATGATTATATATGTATATGTACACAAAAATCCTTAGACTACGGGAAAGATGAAAATATCAGCGCTGGGAAATTACGAGTCTATCCGCACCAGGGCTGTCGCCCCCCCAACCAGGAACAAAAGGTCCGGGGGAGGGACCTCAATCACCGTTTTACCGGGGAAGAATCCTACATGAACCACTGTATCTTTCATTGTCAACCAAAAAAAAAAACTGAAAAAAAATGATAGATATTGCCAACAATATTCCCAACCACTCTTTTGGGGGATAAATATTGCCAACACCTATGTTTATCCCCCAACAGAGTGGTTGGGTCCCATGAATTGGCCACACCGGCCGGTGTTCTCTCTTTTTTGCGCAGGTCACGGAGGTGTTTTCCGTTGGGTTCCCATCAGGTTTTCTCCGGTCCTACAAAACGAACATTTACGGAAGACGTGGTTTATATACGTCATTATACGTCTACATATTTGAGTATTTCAATTACTCCACTTGCATCATTTTTTGAAGGAATTGATTTCTGATTTTTCTTCTGCAAACATCACCTCCTGCAGGGACAAACCACTATTCAGCCTCCCGAACAGTGCTGCTAAACACCACCAAAATGCTGAATGTAGAGTTTACCATCATTTACCATGGCAGAGACCCATTTTTGGATCAATCCCCTTGTTTTTTGTGGTTTAAAAGATGGCTAATGTTGAAGATGGTTAAAGCTGGCGGCTCAATCACCATCCCAAGGGGCATAGAGGGGCGCTTCCGCCGCATAGTGCCGCACGGCCCGGCGCCGCTCCATTGGCACCACCCGCATCTCACGTGGAGCCTAGGAGCTGGAATGCTCAAACGCTGGGAATCGAAGGAAATTTAGAAGTCAAACTTCCGACTTATATGACTTATGGACAGCAGCAACAATCAGTGGCGAGAGCAGTCAGAAAAGAGAAAGAGTCAGAAGAAACAAGATCAAGGTGCCCGAAAAGGTAGAGAAGTCGCGAAACGCCGTGGCGAGGTAAGCTCTGCAAAATGTGCACGCGGCTGTGGCGCGAAGCACATGTCGAAGTAGAGAGAGACAGAGAGACTCAGAGCCTCAACCACCTTTCGGTCCATCAGTTCGCTCTGCCGCCCATGCATCACAACAACTCACCTTTCCTATCTTTAAAAGTTCCGCCACCGCCTTGTGCGGGTCCTACTGGTAATACTAGGATTATAAGTGCCAGCGTCGGCCTATGTCATAGGAAGTCATAGGATTCTTCCAACTCTGCCAAAGAGATGTTTGCTCATGACACAGGCAACTTAATTTTGGGGTATGTCCGACAAGTCCCAAGTCCCAAGTCACTGGCGGGTAGTATATATCTGAAAATTGGTTGGAACATCATCTTGCAACTCAAACCATAGTGATGATTTCGAAAATACGTTCACCATGAAACATGTTAAAGCAAGTTTGGGACTTTTGCGGAAGATACTTTCCTACAGTAAAGTACCTTTGAGGGGGCACTAATTTTGCAAAGTTGGTGATAAAACAGCAAAAGATAGAAAAATCAGACCTGCCACTCAAGTTTAGTCGGATTTCGTTGTTCTTTTGGGGGTTGCTAAACCCCGGATGTTGGAATATTCTTCTTCGATCTTTGCGGTAGAAATGTACCCTGATGCATCTGTAAAGGGATAATTCATATTAATCCATGTAACAAATGGTAGTGAGTTCATCAATGGGTGTGTCACCAATCTATGTTGGGAAGATAGGTACCCCCCGTGCAAATCTACCCTGACAATGAAAACCACCAATTTTAAATATGGCTGTGGGTAAAAACCCTGGTGTCCTTCTGTTCACACCAAAATAGCTGGGATTTATGGATGTTCATCCCAAAAAAAAATGTATAAAAATGTGACATAGCTTCTGACATATCAAATATAGGAAAATAATCCATTAATGGACACATATCTATCTTAGTTGGGGATGATATGGAATGGGGATCTAACAGCTTGATGAACTTGTGATTTCCAATGCCAACCAGCAGAACAGTTTACAAAAAAAGGTTTTAGTCAACAGAAATTGGAGGATCAACACTAGCTGACTGGAAAATCTCTATTTCTTATCCGAAAATATTTTAGAATATCATCTGTTTTCATGGTGAGTTTCCCAGCCGACCAGGTTTGTTTGCCAGAGTCAGAGTGTTGAAGAAACCGTTGTTGCACATCCACCAATGTATCTCCTAGTTACACGGTCAAAAGACCACAGAATTGCTGGTCAGCACCTTTGTTTTAGCGCATGAAACTGTGGCAAGCTACAATACCCACAGTAAACCACGAACACGTTAAAGTTAAAGTTTAATGAACCCACTAAACTGTAGAATCAGGCACGCTTTACGGTTTGGAGTCTACCACATTCATTGAAGACTAGGACCATGTACACCTTCGATCACTGTAGAAAAATATACACCTCCCATCTGCTTCGGACGAACGGCCTCTGCCACTCGATTCTGCCGCAGGTCCTCCAATGTCCAACGAATGATGAAAAAGTTGCAGAGTTGGTGGGAAAAAGAACTGGCGAAAACCATGCTTGATACATTGATCTATTGGGGGTTGTCTGAAAATTCAGGGGAATTTTGACCATTCCGTGGTGCCAAAACCTGTTCCCAACATCAAATTGACCATCGGGATATCCGCCATTATCCATCCCCCATTCAAATTCGACCTTTCTAGCAATTTCTTGCCCATATTCCAGGGCCGAACATATTCCATGCCAAAATAGCTGGGAAAATTCAGGGAATTGCGAAGACCCCTTTCAGGTGAAATTTGTATTTCATACAGTTTGCCAAGTATTCCTTTTCTTCTGGCACGTACGTTGTCGACTGCACATGTTCTTCCCCAAAGAAGATCCTTACTTTCAACAATTTCTGGAAATGTCATAATTAAAAATGTTGAGCTTTCCAAAAATGGATTAATAATGTTCTTATGGAAATTTGTCATCTACACTTTTCACGATCCCAAAACCCAATTCATAAGCTTTAAGCTTATGTTCTGGCACGCTTGGCTGGCCTTTCATCAGCAGCGCCATCCCCATCTTTCTTGACATCTTTGTGGCCCCGCAAAGAGCTCTGCACAACAGGATCTGGGAACACAAATCATCGACGATCCTGTTTTCTTCCGTGCAAAATAATTCCACCGATAGAGTACGATGCCACCCCTGGAGTGCGCTAATTTTCTGGAATGCGAAAATAAAACAGTATGCGTGGCCCCCTTCGACCTTCCCCATGAATCCAACACCAGTTTTTTCCATCATATACCAGAAAATTATCACATTTCACCCTGCTGAGCTTTTTTTTTCTTTTCTTTTTTTTTTGGCCAAAATTGCCTGGAATGCGATAGTATGTGCAACTACAGACGTCTCACGAAAAACCTCTACCTTTCCCATATTCCAGAAAACGTGATTCCAGGCGATTTTAGCCAAAAAAAAAAAACGAAAAAAAAAAGAAAAAAAACGAAAAAAACGAAAAATTACCGAGTACGAAGATTTTATGGAGTGCGAAGATCTTGCAGAGTGCGTGGATTTTATAGTATGTGCGCGTCCCTAGCTGTGGAGTGCGATGTCCCATGTGGAGTGCGAAGAATTTGTGGAATGCGAAGAATTCCGAGTATGCGTGGCTGGTATAGAGACCACATAGGGAAATTTCGCGGCCAGAACCAAAATTCCAATCCCAAAGCCGGCCCAAACTTCCAGGGGCACACCAGTGGGTTCTATTTTTCCAAGTTCACCTTGGGTGAGGTCCCGGGGAAGAAACTTGCTAATTTTTACTTAGCCAACCTTTAAAAACGTTACCTTTGACAACCCTGTCCTTCTTCTGTAGACAAATGAGGAAACTTCCTTATCAAAGCAGCCTTCAATTCATTCAACGTCCACAGCTCCTTTGGAACGACATAGGGGATAGAAAGCTGTGGAGGGGCATTCAATGGATTCGCCGTGGGCCAACTGTTCCCTCCAGATTGAGCTGAAATGCCTATCAAAGTAACATACCAAAACCCAGGTCTGGAGTACGATGAAAACATGGTATGCGAAGATTTTCTGAATATGGGAATGTTGCCTTTAGAACCTTGACACAATGGATCTATGATTGGATCATATTGGATCTATGATTTTGATTGATTTTGGGGGACCCCAGATGCCATGGGAAGGGATTTCCGTCCTCTTCCAAGTCAGTATCTGTGGCAATCACCTAAGATCTCAGCGATTTTCAGGGACTGGGTTGCTCCACCGACAATGATGGAATTACACTACAGACACTTTGCAGGAAACCTTCACTATAAGAAAAGTGTTCACATGTGTTTTTCTGACCAAATCTTGAGGTTTCCTGATAAGAATATCCCATCAATGCAGTTTTGGGATTGGTGGTTCATACAGTATCTATTCGATCTATTCAATGGGCACATACAATAAACCGGAGTGGATCAAAGGAATTTGAATATCTCACGGCAGGCATTCTTTATTTTTCTGAGTTCCCACAAGATCCACAAGATACTCCCAAGGAGTATGCAGCTTCGGCGCTCTTTGGGGGATCCATCTTTTCGAAACTTCTTTGAGACAACCCTCCACGAATGTTGTTGGGACCAGCTCAAAGAAGTAGAAAGTCAGCTTGGCAGGAATTTTGAATAATTTTGACCACTGGTGCGTGACACTCTTGGAGATTCGTTAACAAACCAGGGTTTACTAATTGACACAATGATCTGTGACCGATTGGATTGAACAAGCTACAGCAAGAGTTGGCTACCTAGTGGCCCTGGTGGTGGCCCCTGCGATCCAAATCAGATCGCCGTGCTGGAGGCTTAGATGCGTTTGTCTGAAAATTCAGGCGGAAACCGAAAAAAACTATGATTCATCACCATGTTCCCTTTCAAAATTGCCATCCCCTCCGGTAATCAAACGTGGCTTGCTGGAAAATCCACCCATAGTTCGATGAAGTTGCCAGCTATAAACCTCCATTGCGACGTTTGGCTACCAGCAATTAAATTGGAGGCATTTCCAAGTCGCAGAGATCTCAAGGTCTCCATACATCACACGAGGCTCCTCGCAGAGTGAATCAGAGCTGAGCCCATGCCTACGGTTCTGTAAAAAAAGGCTGAACCCCAGTATTGGACCATATCCTTGCATGAATTTGTCTAGCTTCAGAAGCCCTAGTTTTGAAGCTTCTCAAATTTTGCGGCATCCATTTTGCGTCGGAAAAAAAAATGAGTAAAGGGCGCACAACGGTGGTAGCAGAGACATTGGGTCAAAGATTGGCTCACCATCGTTGTGTCAAAACCAATGGACCCACTCATGGCTGGTCTCAATATTCCCAGTTCTTGGGGCTCCAAGCATTTTTCGTCCATAGAAAGATGTTCAAGTCATTGGAGAGATATGGGTTCATCCTCCCATTGGAAATATGCTAAAATTGGACAAATTCAACTGAGCCCCCAAAACTCATCAAAAACTCCATCTCTACCTTGATCTCCTGTGGATTTGTCTGAAAATGTGGTATCCAAAGTCAAATCGTGATCCTTCCAAATTTGGGGAATGAACATTTCCTAACCCCGGTGGCCGCAGGACTCCTCCAACTGCAGCGCTTGACCCAGCGCTTTGGCCAGGTGTAAAGCCACGGAAGCCTCGACCAAGGCATCGCCTTATTGGAATCCACATGGAGCTGCAGTTGGGGTGACAAAAATTGGAAAAAAATGGGATGATGTTAATGTCTACCTCGTACCTTGTCTGGGCTCGCTCTTATTTGCGCAGAATATACTATATATGCACATGTGTACACAACATTCAATTTGGGGACTGTAAAGAGAACTAAGCAACGCTCATTCACAAGGCATTCAACAGAATGGTTGTTTCACACGTTATATCTTTCGCAGGACCTTGATTTCGCAGTCCTCATGTGTAAAGCTAAGCCCTTGGTAACCTGCTCTCATTTCTCTGTCCACAAACCAAGGAAAGCGGAATGACCAGGGGAGCAGCCCTTTAGCGATCAAAATATTTGGGAGAGGGGACAGCAAACCTGTCACCTATGCGTCCCCTATGTACTTATGTTGCTGTATTTTGCTAAAAAAACAACAGTTTGGAGTATGATGATTCAAGATCTATTTCCAGCCATCAGCATTCCGCACCTGCTGGGCAGCTTTCTAAGCTGATTTCAGGGTGCACATGTCCATGTCCATGTGATTTTTTGGAAGCTGTTCAGAAGCAACAAAAAATCAAACAACCCCAAAAACAGAGAAAAGTGTAGGCTCGAAAAATTGGGGTTGAATCATACAGCTCCAAACCCGTCCTGACGTCACATGGCCTGCTCCAATGCTCAAGAAGATAAGCCGGCGGTGACCCTGCGTGGTCTCAAGTGTTTTCTTTGGACAAGTTGTTCAAACACCTAATGAAACTGTGGAAGAAACAACGCAATGAGAAGGGATAATGGGTCAGTAATCTAACCAATGAATTGCATAATACCTTATAAAACCAGAAAAAAACGAGAAACACATCTTATTATAGTTTAATTTTGTTTAATGCATTTCGGGTGTGTGGAAGTCTGCGTGCCCTTGGTAAACATTCCAATCATTTCTTCAGTGTTGAAGCTCTGTGCATGGTCCAACTCATTAGAAAGCCAATACTGATTGACCTGTCCTAGCGCTTCAGGGAAGCCTCAAAAATACTAAACTTTGTGACTTTCTTGGCCTCAAAATTGGACCTCCTGATGACCTTGTTTGGAAAATGCTGTATACCATGGTGTATCCCCAAAAATTCCCCGTTTTGGAGGGAACACGTGGGACTTGAATGGGTTTCCCCATGGTTTCCCAAGATTTTCAGGCGGTTTTTTCCGTTCCCCCACCTGGTCCCTCAGCTGCTTGGCGAAGGATAGCAGCCGCCAGCAGATGGTGCCCACCAGCTCCAGGGTCGGCAGCTCGGTCACATGCGCCTGCGACCTGCAGATCGCGTCGGACCCCTCGCCAGGGATCCCTGGAGGATCCCTGGCGAATCGTCAGTTACCCTCTGGTAATTTAACATAGCTATTGAAAATGGCCATTTATAGTGAGTTTTCCCATTAAAAATGGTGATTTTCCATAGTTATGTTAGTTTATCAGAGGGTAAGAAGTCCACGAGTCGTCCGTCCCTGATTGGAGGATCCCATTCCTCCAATTGGCTTATAAGTTATAAGCATTTACGATCCGACGGTGGGTCTTCAACGCCTTGTAGATGTGCTGTATAACAATGATCATATTAAATATCTATTATGGGTCCGCATACCCGCTTTATCCTAAAACTCAAACCGCTGATCCAACAGCAAGAGACACCCCAATGGGGTTTCCCATAGGAAATCATGGCATAGATCACAAAATAACCCAGAAAAAGTGGTTCACCCATCAGTCATCGCCACGATTTTGGGGGATATCCGGTAAGTGGAAAGTGCCATTGGTTTTCCATAGCGTTTTATGTTAGTTTAGTGGAAGGTAACTACCCAGTGTGTTTCATGTTTAAGTCCATCTAAACCCAATGGCTAATTATCACTTCTCTTTCAAGCGTTGCATTTTTCCGTGGATTAGACAAAATCAAATTTTCATATAAGAAACATGGCCGATCTTAGATACCTTGCAAAAAGTAAAACGGTTAGCTGCTTACAATAGGTTTAATAATGTTAGCTATATTGATCTCCATTCATATCCATGGCAAAAAGGTATGAAATTGTACTAAACTAGCCACCCGAGGCTTCCCATCCAAAGTTCATAATCTATCCCTTCAACCTTCCAAAATGTTGCGCATCACGGGCCACCGCTCTTAGAGCGCCTGGCGCTCATCACCAATGGCCACCGCCCTTGTGCTGTCCAGGCAGCCACCAGCTGCAAGAGGTTCTCGAAACCTGATGTCTCACGGCTTGGTCATGTTGTATCATCCTGATGGGGGAACATCAACCATGGAGGGTCCATATTGGATGAAGTTCAGTGGATTGGAGGCTATATATTCAGTACAAATGGTGATGTCCACCTGGTTGAGTGCCGGTTGAGTCCTGGTTGAGTTTATGTCCTTGTATCGTATAACTGGATGATGATACTCATTCCCCAATACGTGTATATATAATACATATATATATATATTTGTAGACATATTTATATATATATATATATATATTAAATATATATACTGTATATGTATACATATACAATATACATACTTACATAATATGTATATACATATATCATAGATGCATATATTGGATAGTATAACCCCCTACAATTCTCAAGCAACAAGGTGCCCCGCCGAGCCCCATTGAGCCCAAAAACAGTTTCGTCCCAACAGATGTCGTGCAAGGCCGCTGTGAGGACCAGTCAGAAGAGCCCAGGCCTCACACCAGTCAATGTGTAATGGAATGGATGAATTTATGTATGTATATTATATAGTACATTACATATATATATATATTATGTATGTATGGAAATCTATAATAAATGGATATGTATGTATATGGAATTCAACATGTATGTATGTATGTATGTATGTATGTATGTATGTATGTATGTATGTATGTATGTATGTATGTATACATCTATATATATATATATGTAGGGGTTTCCATATGGAATGTAATGTTATGTATATGGAATGTAATGTAATGGAATGGAATGGAATTATGTACATATATTACATATAATATGTTGTAATGAAATTATTATTATGTAATGCAATGTAATGGAACGGAACGGAATGGAATGGAATGTTATGTATGCGTATACATGTATATATCATAAATGGTGATACCCCAAACTGGATGGTTTATAATTAATGGAAAATCCATCTACAAACCGATGATTTGGGGGTACCCCATTTTAGGAAACCTCCATATTATATATATACAATTATATACACTATTTATATTACCCGTACTAGTACTACATACTTGTATATATAATATGTACAAGTACTGTACAGTATAATTATATGCATAATAGACTATATTAGTAACGATCTGTAGATCTGTTAAACATTAGCGCGGGATGTTGCCACTGTCACGCCAACGGTGCACCTCTAGAGGAGCCATGGTCGTTAAACATGGTATCTGTGGCATGGATTTTATCCATCCGCTAATGGGAAAACCCAGAAAAATGGGTAAATCATGGTAAATCATGGTAAATCATGGTAAATCATGGTAAATCATGGTAAATCATGGTAAATCACACTGTGAGTGATTGATACATTTTCATACCCATCCGATACCGAAGCCACAGCCATACCGCTATGTGGGAACGCTGGCGACACCCCTGCCTCATCTTCGCAGAAAGGTCGCTGTCCAGACCCAAGGTCATCCTGTGCAATGGAGACTGCTCTTCACATCCATCAGTGGGTATTGAATGCCTGAGTTTCAGTGGTGTCTACTGAGTCTGGCTCTGAGATCACACCCTCTTTTTCAACGTGACCCCCGACCTGGCAGATGCCCAAAGCCCGCATCCAGCCCCAGGCTTCGGCATTTTCACCATCCTGTCATTACGGTGTCAAAATTTTTAGATCCCAGGGATTCCACAGATTTTAAGATGTTGATATCGTTGATATAGGTGAAACATGGAAAATGAATATGGTTGAATTATTTCAGTATTGAACCATCAATTCTAGGATCGCCACGTTAAGTTGTATCCGACAAATTGCAGTAGAGGATCGTTAGAAAGCAGATTTCAAATCATTCCATCCCATTCCGTCCCATTCCATCCCATTCCAGCTTAAGTCAAATTTCATGGTTGATCATAATGTTTTCCATGAGAATGGTCGTAACGTGGAGGTAATCCCGTATTTTTGGAGAAGTCCGTACATGCACATGTTGGTTTATCTCCCCACCATATCCCATTAGATCCTCATGATGGTTGGTTTCAGCCTGCATTAAAATGTCCATTGGGATCTCTCCCTTTTCTTGTCAGGTGTAAATCAAAACGTTGCTTTGGTACCCCATTTTCTATTGGTTAAGTTGTATAAATCCCCCATGTTTGGATAAATTGATACGGGTGGGTGTTGAAGTCAGGAGTGGATGTCACAAACACACTAAACGCACCGGCAATGTCTGCAAGCCCTGGGAAACAAAACCTGTTGGCAACGCTTCAACGCTGGGTTCAAAAAAAGGTGCGTATTGTTCCAGGGGCCCTTTTCCAGTAAGAAGATCCAAACAAAGGTTCCAAGCAACTGTGTTTTTGACCCTGGCCCTCCGAGTTCCCCTGCTGGGACAGGTAAAACTCGACCTAAGATGCTGGTGCAGCTGCCCAGAGGGGTCCTGATGGGAATGTGACCAACAATATGGTTTTGTTATGATTTATCTAAGAATGGGGGCTAGTTACCCAAACTATGACCATTTCGAAAATGATAATAACATATAATAACATATAATAACGGATTTGCTGCTCCCTGTTTTGAGACTGCCGAGGGGGTTCCTAAAACGATTTTTTTTCCAGTCAGAGTGGTGCCTTGGGGCCTCCCACAGAAGGGCCGATGCTGCTTTGCGACCCGCTGCTGGCATGCCTCGACAGGTGCCAACGTACGTGGCTCGTTGCCGGTTGTAGATGTGTCCACAGCAAGTTGGGTTTATGATGGTTTATGATCACGGGATGTAGTCAGGTCGGTAGGTGTTTAAATATGTATGTACATGTACGTAAATATGCATGGATGGGCACCATGTGTTTTTCCACCCTGAAGACGTTTAATATATAGTTACTACAATGCTGAGAAAGAAAAACATGATCGCATTGTGATCATGTAGACAAGGCATGACAAGGATGACCCTTGCATCATCCCAGGGGCGCTCATGTCATACCATATCGTCTCAAACCACCCTGTATCCGACACTATCCGACCATAAAGTGACATGTATTATCGATTTAATATCATATCATTCCAGAATAATATCACGCGATAATCAAACAATGTCATGATATGTCTGTACACCTTCATGTACATCTACATGCAACTTCTACAAGTATCACATGTACAAATGTACAGTACTGTCAGATAACTCTGTGTTTCACTGTATTTTACTAGTTCCCAGTAAATTCGGTGGACAAATAAAGCTACCCCGTCAAAATGGCGTGCCCTACAATCTGGATGGTTCAAAAAATGACCAGCTGATCTGGGGCCCTCTACCCCTCATATGCAACTACCCATTACAAAATACAGCATCATATCTTAATAAAAACGAAATTGATCATGATACCTCAATAAATCAGGAGATCAAATTTACCCAAATAAAACACAACAAGCAGTGCCACAAGAATCAAAACGGTATGTCAAAAATGAACAATGCAACTCATATTTCCTGTGTATTGAAATAGTGTTCCCCCATTCTCCAACTGTGTCTTGCAAAACCAGCTCATAGGTTCGTCTTTGACTGCCTTGGATGCATACAAAACTATTCCAACGAAGATCAGACAAAATGTGGCGCATCCTGCGTGTTTGATGAAGCGACAGAGCATTGTAAGAAATGACGCTCCACAATGGGAGTGTTTCCATGCCTGTCCTGACCAGTGGGAACCGCGAGGGACCATCAAGAAGAACCTCGACTATGCCTTTTTCAAATGGTTTATCACGCCGCCTGAGGTAGAATGGGGTTGCACTTCCGCGGCAGGCAAGGCCTCTGGAATCGCAATTGCCGAAAGGAAAGCTTTCGCCTTCAAACATTTGGCGCGTGTCCACTTCCCAGCTGAGCTTCTGGATCGGGTGGGAGAGCCATTCGTCTCAAACGAGGCGATGTTGATTGAGTTAGTCCGCACAAAGCACAAGAAAGACAGTATTGCGACAGGGTGCGGGCTTGGATATACCATGCGCTTTCACAAGCGCCGAGCAGATGTGTCCCCATTCTTTGCTTGGATGCCAGTGGCAGAGTTGGGCAAGGCGAATCTGAACCCTGCATTGGCCCAGACCATCAGGCAGTTGAAAACTACAATGGCAGGAAGCTACGGGAACTTCTTTCTGCACAGGCCATGGCAGCTGTCAACACTTTTTCCCAGCTGGCGACACTTACTACGGACAGTTTGGCAACAACAGTCGAATTGACTATATGTTTGCCTTCCACAAGCCTTATTGGGCAGAGTTGAGGCTTGCAAAGTCTTTTTTGCTGCAGGCAAACGTTTACAAATCATTCCTGCAGCTGGAAAAAAGGACCACATGCCTTTGCAACGCTCTTTTTGGCACAAGTTGGCTTATGATATTTTCACCACAGCATTTCAATGGGATCAGGATGCGCTGGCACAGGGTGTTTTGCAAGGACACCGCCGTGCAAGACTGCTACAAACATGTGAACAAGCGCTGCCGCAGACAGATTTGCATGAACATAGGAATTCCTCACCAGACGCAGTGTGGAACATTATCAACACTGCGGTGGTGGAAGCTGCGCAGGCATGCTACAAGCAAAAAAACAAGCATGCCACTGACCCAGCAAACACAAAAGATGCGAATGAGAAAATGGTGGTTGCAAGGGCAACTTTGGCACATCTTCCGAGGAAACGGCGTTTTTCTGCTATCTGTCAAACTAGTGTTTCCATAGATTTTTTGTCCGCGTTGTTACAACAATGGAGGGGGCTGGCTCAATATTGGAAAGCTGGGAACCATCTCGACCATCTTGCAAAACCAGATCGGCAAAAAAAAACTGCCAACAATTGGAAGGTTTCAACAGTGCCTGGCAGCGCCGAGACTTTGCTGACATGTGGAAAACTGCGCGTCGTCTTTCAGGCAAGAATCTTGGTCCAAAAAAGCGCGTGGACAACAAACCTGTTACAGCGAGACCGTCCATTGCCGATTGGTCTGCCCACTTGGCCATTCCCAGCAAAGAAGGCCACCGCTTGCAGAACAGATGTGTGAAGTTAAGTGTGAGCAAGAACATGATCCTCGGCTTACAGATAGGCAAGTGGCGAGCCTTGCCAATGCGGATTTCCATGGCATGGCTTTTCATGTCCATAAAGCAAAGCTACGCAAGGCTGCCCCACCATGGGCTGCCGCAGCAGAAGTTTGGAGACAATTTTTCCAGCCTCAATACCATCAAGCCTCTCTGGCCGAGCGGTGTTCACACTGTCCATCCCGCGTTGGCAGCGAACACCCCAACAATGGCAGCGCGGTATGTCTGCCCAATTGGACAAGCATGGCAAACCGGGCTGTCAGGTCATACGCTTCATTAGCTGCCTGGACCCTTGCGGATCCGTATTACAAGCATTTGCGGAAACAAGGCCAAACACGCCACAGAGCATATGCTGCTGGCTATCTTTGGCAGAGATCGCGACTGGAACCCATTTGCCAACAAACGAGCCGTGTTGTCCAGCCGCCTGGGAGCAAGAAAGATTTCACACGCTAGATTCTTAGATCCTTTTATGATGTACAGAATGCTTTTCCAAGTCAATCAGCCGAATCCATCTCAGCTGCTCTGGCTTTGGTGGCTCGGCCTGTCGACAGGCAACTTTGGGTTGTCTTCCTTTGCGGGTAATGTTAGTCGTATCACAGTGGGAAGAAATCCAGTAGATTTGCGTCTTGCACTTGAAATTGGAAATTCCAGCCTGGATTGCTGACTATGGGAAATTGACCTTGTCCAAAATGTTGGAAAGCAAGAGCATGCTGTTTTCTTTGGCGGGCAGTGGGCAGAGTAGTTCTTCGTGCTATCACACGGTTTACCAGAACCAGTTCTTGCCCGGAAAAGCTGTGCCTTCTGTGCGATATTTGGGAGCTCGGATACAATATGTAGGAAAAATCCTGATGAGGTGGGTGCACGCATTTATGCTGCAAAACGGAAGTGGGCACAAATGGTCCGTTTTTGATACAGGTCTGTATCGTCCAAGCGTGGGAAGGTGTTGTTCTACACTGCACTTGTGCATTCTGTTCTTTTGTCAGGCCTTGAAACTTTTGTCCTGGAACCAGGCAAATACAAGCAACTCAATACATTGATTCTCCGACACGCTCGCAAGCTCATGCAGGGCAAAGGGTGCTCCAAGCAAGTTCTGGAAGCTGGCAGCATCAAAATTACAGCCTGCAAGTCAAAAACTGTTTGGATATGGTTGGGGCCTTTGTCCTTGTGAGCTTGGGTTGCAGATTAGACGGCTTTCTTGGTACCAGCAGCTTGCAGGAGATAATTTAAAAACATAATACATACATGTATTCTTTGGGGAATTTTTGGCAGGATGGGCTTTGAATTGCATGATACAGTTGATGCAAATGGTAAAGTTTTACCTTCGGCAAATGCCTGGGCTCAGCAGTTTTATTCAGATATTGAAAGCCTCAGCAAGCTTGACGCTGGACAAGGGTTGCTTGACCTATTGCAAGATCGCGTGGTTTCGGTGTTTACTGAATTTCTTCCTCAATTTTCTCGCCGTGGGCATGTCTGAAGTACGTAGGAGGCTGAACCCTGTAGCCACCTGGATGGGTGGACCCTGCTGCAGTGCACGTGAAACTTCTGAACCAGAGCGACCTTTTCTGTGTGATCGGACGTTGGCAGATGGAACCCAGTGCCGCCAAGATTTTTCCACTGTGCGTGCTCTGGCCGCGTTCTACAAAAGGCGGCACGCATGATGAAATATCACCTGTTGCTATCTTTGTCGTCACAAATCATACCATTGTGTAAGAATGTGCTTTCCAACATCCAGTCAGCTCACAATCACATCAGTCGTTCCCTCAAAGAGGGACGTTGCACGGCCACACGAACCTTCAATGGGGAGGCCGAGAAAGCTAAGTCTTCTAACGGGAACCTTCCAAACGGTCAGCCACACTACCATGCATGGATCGCCTTGTTGGAGGCCTTGTACACACAAGCTACTGAGCAAGAAAAGGAGACGTATACTGCAACAGCCCTGCTATTGTGGCATGCAGTGCGCATGTCTGCAGGGTGAAGAAGTGCCTTGACCAGTCCAAGATGAAGATTTGCGTTGCTGCCAGTGAGTCAGTGAGGCCTGTTTTGCAGATTGTTGAACGTCATGTCAAGAACTGTGGTGGTAAGACGCTCTACGGCCAGGCGCCAAAAGGTGGTCTGGAGCGTGATGCGCAAACTTTTCTTGATTGACTTTCTGATATGTTGAAATGATTTTGCGTTTGGTCCTGACGCTCGTGTAGCCTGTTTGATCCGGTTCACTTGTGATTTGCGTGTGATTTCTATCTTTTGGTGGGGATCGGCTGTGCTGCTGTCGGGACTGTGCCCTCTTTGCATAGTGCTGAGGGGGCGGCGCAGTGAGCACTGTTCAGGGCTCTCTTGGACAGGTTGGGCTACATTTAATGTGGCCTTGACTCAGTTAGCATGGACGCATGTGACCGCTGCACGTGAAGTGAAGTGAGGTGTTCCCCCAGCATCTTCCGGATCTCGGAAAAAATGGTTGAAGGGAAAGTCAAGAGTAGAAACCCGACCAAAAAATTAAAAAACAGGTCTCAACCGGAATATTTCCCTCAAACCAATCCATTGCATCCACAGTTTGGTTGATTAAATCCGAAGTGTTTATTATTTTTCGTGGTTAAGTCCCCATTTCTCCGGGCGACCTCGCCTTGCTACAGAAGCTGGCCACTTGGCAGTGACTGCAGCGAAAGTCAGGCGCCAGCTGGGCGCAGCCAAGGCAGACCTGGCACCCAAATCATCCAAGTCATGGACCATTTTAGTATTGAAACCTATTGAAACCTATTGAAACCTATGGTTTGGGGGATCCATTTTAAGAAACCTCACATGTGGGATATGACGAGGTAGGATGATTATGGCAGGATCATATTATATCCACATAGTATAATAGGGATATCAACCGGGGATAACTATTATTCTACAATCCCCATGAGTTACCACATGACATTCTTCACGTGATAAATTGTGGTGATAGTTGTAGGGGATATAATATGAATATATATATATATGATATACTGGGGATATAATGAGGATGTAACAATCTCATGAAACTCGAACTATCATGAAATTTTGTCACTATCATGGGGATATTATATGGGGTATATCATCTATCGGGATATTTTCTGGGGCCTTTAATGCTTCCTTTAATGGGGATAGCGTCGGCTCCTGTCACCGCATCCAGCAGCCTTTGAAACAGCCTCTTCTGATCTGCATAAACCAAGTACATAAAATTTTGGTATATTTTGGTATAATCGGGCGAAAATGTGGATTTGACTAGTTGGATCTATTTGGTCATGTTTGAATATATTTGACCAACCCAATATTCGGATATCCAGCGACCAAGCTGCCAAGAAAAACCTTCACTGGTGGAGTTGATTGGATGAAATAATCTGTAAGCACCCATAATCGCGTCGCATCCTAAGTGGGGCACATCGTCCACCTGTTCTGTTCATCAGCCGTCGATACAAATGTCCTAATTGATTGATCAGTCATGAGACTTCGTGCATCATGCCTGCGAGGCCGAGGATGCACACGTGTACTGAAATCCAGGTCGGACTTTGACTGCCTCTTATTTGACTGAGTGCATCCCAAAAAGTAAGTAATTTCTCTCGCAAATTCCTAAACAGACCTAAACCATCTAACATTGTAGGGTTTGAAAATGAAGAGCTCCTGATTTGCTTCGCTGCCCTGCCCTGCCACATCGCACCACCATCTCGCCAAATTCTCCAAGTCGACCACGGATCCATGGCGCTGGGTGAATTCTTGGGTCTGGGACGGCGCCTACCGGTTTTTTCCACCCGAAAAAACCACCCGTTTATGGCCATTCTTGGGGAACGATGAATCAATGAACCATCAATGTTTGGGGGATACTCAACTGCGCCAGGGAACTGCCTGCATTCTGTCGTCACAATGAATCCATACATCGATCATATACTGAACAAATGAGATATAAAAAGAATATTTAAAAAATAATAATTATTATTAAAATTCACAAATTCAATTATCCACATGATCATGTTTCTACATATCCAAATGCCATGGGTAGAAGATTGCGTAACACCTATACTATACTAAACAGCAGTGATCACGATCGTATCGTCTACGATTCAGCCTGAATTGGCTGCGATGACCAGCGATAAGCATTTTGAGCTGTGTTGACTGTTGACTCCGCCAATTGCCATAACATGACATTACATGAAATGAACATGACATCACATCACATTATATACATTACATTACAATGTATTACATTGCATTGCATTACATTACATAAAATAACATAAGACAACATAACATGGCATACAATCATACTTTCATGTTAATTGCTATGTGGTGATGTGGTAAACTCAACAATGAATCTCCAACTCTAATTGTGGATGCTTTAGATCACCCATCTCTGGTAAAATTGGAAATGGTTTTGCATTGGGTTCACCACCTCATACATAAATATATATATGTGTACACATACAGAAATAAATGAATATTTTGTTGTGTGTCATGTGTATATACTTACAGGGCTCCTCATCTGCATCTGCTGGTGAGGGTGTCCCAACTTGATACAAAACCTGTAGCTCCCTAGCTGCCTGGGGTTCACAGCTCCCTCCTGGTCGCTATGCTTGGACCCATAATTCCTCCACCCATGGGCACCGGCGCTCCCAGTTGCTGGGGAAAACTGATAGACCCTCAGTTGCTGGGGAAAAGCATGCTTTCCGGTAGTTTCTATGATTTTTCCTTGAACCAACCAATGTTTCCAGCAGATTCTTTGTTTTAACTTGTCCCTGCTCGGCTCACAATGCTCTGTCATTGGCTTAGCTACAGCGCCCGTGCCACCGCCCGCCGCACGCAGAAATCTCTGCGGAATGTCTGGAGGGCAGCTGGTCACGAACAACTTCAGCTGATCGCGAAAGCCAGGGTTTCACTGCCTACTTGGACTCATGGGAAAACTGTTTGGTCATTTAAATTTTGTATATTATTGTATCATATATCTTATCATATATATATATATATTACATATATAAAGGACATATAATCTATAAAAAAACTCTCAAATACACAAAGTCCATCCAAACTTGAACCTGACATAAGAACTACATCAGTTGACTGTTCCAGGTCGCGGGAAAATTTGGACGCGGAAGCGTTCGAGGTCCCAGGTGAACCGCTCGCTTCGGCATCCAGAAAAGGGATCTGTAAGTGAAACCCTGTATCCAACTACTATGACTGCATAAACTTTCACGTCGCTCCCACGGACGACTCAGCCTCGAGTTTGAGGTGATAGCAGCTGGGAATACAGGAGGTTGGAACACACGAAAGAAGCAGGGCAGCGAGCTCTGGTCGTGGGACGAAAAAACTGCTCAAAACATCCAAACTTTAAGTGAATTAATGTTCTTGGGATGTTTAACTACCCGTTTTGAAGATCTTTAATTTTGACCTATGACCATCTGGTTATGTACAGTAAGTGACGCTGCTCACGCTTCCGATTTAGGGAGTGCATCCTGTGTTGGCATGGACCAATCTCAAACCGCTCCACCAACAAACATTGCAAATACCTTAGCCATTGAATTACCCTTCCTACACTACACCACAAACATGAAACACTTGCAACATCTCAGATTCTCAGATATGCCAAAAAAAACTAGCTGTGTATGATTGATTTACCCTCTACCAAGGTTTACCCAAACATTCATGTTGTATTGCTGTTGACCCCCTCTCCAAAATCCATTGATGCCACGATTTCATATCATGTGTCGTTACTATATCTAGTATCTAATCTTACTATGCATATGACATTTATAGAATAAATTACTTGTGTATGTGTATATATATATATACATAGAAATATCATACAGATATCATACATATATGTTCAACATCCCATACGCCAAGCTTTCCCAGCAGTACCGCTTTGTTGTTGAACTCCGGGTCCCGCACCGTCGCGGGACGTCGGTTTACACCTTCATTCATTGGCAAATCATACGCTCTGTTCCATAGCTATGATAGAAGGTGACAAGTGATAAGTGTGTATAAAGATATATAATGTATTTTCAAGATGATTAATAAAGAATGCAATCATAATGATTATTGTGGGATATAATGGGAATGTAATGGGAATATGAATAGACATGACGATGTTCGGGCGGTGATTTTTCTATCAAACATGTGCGGGCGGTTCCTTTCCGCGAAAATTGCTGGAGGGATACGAGAAATTGATGGTTGGTTGGTGGTTCAGTCGCCCATCCCAACCACAGTAGTGGGATAATCATCCAATGTGTTGGAAATGCCATTTGTAGAAGCAAAGGATGAAGTCTCCCGCCATTGAGAATACATCTTGTCTTGACGTAGAGGGCAAACAAGTTTCAAACAATCAAGGAATGTATCCTTCACATGCCTTGCAAAATCATCCAGTGGTCATTGCTCCTCCACTCTCCTCAACTTCGATTCCCTTTGCCGGCTACGCCGGCGACCACTGAGGGGCCGGACGAATGGCGTCGTGGCATTCCCACGACGCGACGCGCGTTCGCATTTGGTTCATTTCTCTGCCTATGCCTCGCCAAAAGGCCCATTGTGTGGGTTTGTCTCACGGGGGAAAAATAGACGGGTAGACTCCAAAATGCCTGTTATATCCTGTTATAATCCGTATGTTCCAATGGGGAAATTGATGAAAAACCATGATTTTTACCACTGGATTTGGGCCCCGTTCTAAGGGGACCTTTGCCATGTGACTGATACTTGTGACTAGGGCATCGTCTTGGATCATAGCCATAGTAGCCATAGCTCAATGCCTCAATGGTCAAACAATGCAATCTCGGTCATTTTGGGGTCACCATAATTCACCCTGCTTCACCCAACTTTCAGAATCAATTTCAGCCACAGCCCTTTCTTTGCTCCCAGCCTGCTCAGCAGAATGCTCCCCGTTCGAGAAGCCAATGCCCACGGGCACCACATCTTTCGTAAGGGTGGCGGAGGTATCCAGGGTCCATACCTCGGCTCAACCAGTTTTCAACAGCCCCCTCAAGGGCACCAAGGGGTCAGCCGGGTGTCCATTTGACCCAGTGGAAAACACCCATCCTGGGGGTCTCAGGGTTGTAGCCAGCAGTGGAATGATCCTAAACCAATTTTTTGCCTCCGTACGAAGAAGGCGATTCTGGTTGATGTTTGGGTGTCCCCCAATTCCCTCACACCCGTGATTCATATAAGACCTCCGTATAATTTTCTGCTTAAAGAAAACATGTTTCCATATGTTTCCACCATCGTCGTTCACCATGTGTTTGATATTGTTTGATCATTTTTTTCCATTGTTTTCCAGCATTCAAGCATGTTTTGCAGATGTTGAAGCCATGTTCGCCCCCAATCTTCAACCATTGTTTCAACCATTGTTTCAACCATTGTTTCCTCCATGGGATCAACTTCCCCATCCCTCCGGCGCTGCGCTGGGTGCCCAGAACCCGCCGATGTCCCGACTTCTTCCAGCCGGGCAAGCGTGCTGCGTCCGGAAGCAGCTCCACTGAGCGAGCCGCCTGCAACGGAGCTGGTGGTGTTCGGCGCTTTTTGTATGGCATCTATGGCTTTTCGGAGCACCCAGAATGAGGGAAAATGAACATGTCAAGGTGGAATGTAGGCTTCTTTACATGTTTAGTTTCAACTGTTTTGTATTTGGGCATGTTTGGACTTCAAATGACCTGCACAACTCTGAACATGGCGTCATCAAAGTCTTCAAGTTGCAGAGACGATCATCCCGCCTTGTCAGCATCATCTGATTTGTTGGAAGAAACCTGGTGGTCAAGTTGAATGGATGATATATCTCTCATTCACTGGGAATGGTCATCCTTTTCCGGGGATGCCATGAAAAAGGAAAGCATTGAGTCGCAGTGCCATCTCAATCCGCCTCTGGTGATTTAGCACCTTTTCAAGGCTTCAAAGATCTGACTGTACTCCTCGTGGCCTTTAGATAGCCTACAAAAAAACATGTTGATTTTCCGCTGCAGAATATGTTCCCCCCACGGAAATGTGGCAAAAAGTATGTATGTATACGGTTCCCTTAAAACATCTTGAAACCCCACAAAGTCTAAGGAAAAACAAAGGTGATGGACCCGTCTTCACCAACCATTCAGCGAAGGCGCCTTCACACAGAAGAAGTCATCTTCCAGGCTCTCGTCAGACACCGATGGCGACACATCCTGGGCGTCATGGCACTGGGCCCCAGAATGAATGGATTCCAATGCTAAGCCAGGCCTTTTTTGAAGGGAAACGTTCTCTGTGTCGGGGAAGGGTTTAACAATGTCGGATTTCATCGTGACTTAATTGCGATGTAATTACTGGAGATGATATAACCAACAGTTTCGCAAAGATATGAAGGTTGTGTCTGAAAATAGGGCTTCAACATTGGTCATCTCAATGGAAAGTGTGATGATCAATCATTGGATATCGGGTAACCTACTTTTGGACAAAACCAAAGTGCAGGATATGGAACTTCCCCCCCGTCAGGATGGCCCAAACATCAATGAACCCACAGAAACCGACCATTCACCCAGCTTTATCCAGCAAAACCGATGTTTTCATATGTTTTCCATGTATTTCGGGGCATCCCTTAAACTTT